TTCTGCTCTCTCTGTCTCTCTGTCTCCGTCTCTGTATTTTTTTTATTGCTGCTTTGTTTTCTCTCTCTATCTTTTTCTTTCTCTCTCTGTCTTCATCTTCTTATGGTTTCCTCTTCTCCTCCATCCGGTTGTTCGTTCTGCTGCTACCTGCTGCTGCTGCTGGTACTGTTGCTGCTGCTCGTGCTGCTACTATTGCTGCTGCTGTTGCTGCAGTTTACACTTCTCCTTCTCTTGCCGTTGCTCTTGCTACCAACGCTGCTGTATCAATTGCTGTTGCTGCTGCTGTTTAATTGCTGTTGCTGCTGCTGCTGTTGCTGTTGTTGCTGCTGCAGTTGCTGCGAAGGAGGCGTGTCTAGACTATCGCGTGGGGGGTGGTGTTTCCTCTGCTTCTTCTTCTTCTGCATTTGGCTGTCAGTGGCCTCTCTCTGAAGTTTGCTTATGGGTACGGGGGGCCCCCCTCGTGCTGCAGGCTGAGGCAGAGGGTCTGCGTACTGCTGCGGGGGCCCCCAATAGTCGCCGCAATTTCAATACTGGATATAAATATTTGCTGCTGAGGGCATTCAGAGCCATGGGGATAATGAGGGTAAGAAAATACACGCAGCAGCAGCAGCAGCAGCAGCAGGTGGCTGATGCTGCTGATGATGCTGCTGCTGCTGATGATGATGATTTGCTTCCTAGGACACACATACGTGCTGCTGCGGACTGCTGCAGCAGCAGCACGTGGGGCTTGCTGCTGCTTGGTACAGCAGCAGCACGTGAACGTTGCTGGGGCCGGCTGCAGCAGGAGCAAATTGGTGTTGCTGCTGCCTGCTGCGGCAGGGACACATGGACGGTGCTGCTGAACATACGTGCTGATGCTGCAGCAGGAGCCCTGCATGCAGTGTGTTGTTGCGTCGCTGCAGCAGCAGCAACCTGCATGCAGCTTCTTACTCGTCTATCTTTGCTGTCCACTCCATGCATGACTCCACTGCATGCATTTGTTTCTTTTTGTTTTCTCCGTGCTTGTTGCTGCTTGCTGCAGGCAACCAGCTCTCTGCTGCTGCATATGATGCTGCATCTTCTGCTGCATTTGTTTCTGTGGCTTGTGCTGCATCCGTCGCTGCATTTGCTTCTTTGTCTGCTGCTGCATCTGCTGCTGCATCTGCTGCTACTGCTGTTGCTGCAGGTGGTCTTCATCGACGCTCAGGAGTGGCAGCACGCGAAGGAGACGCAGCAGCAGGTGTCTCTGCTGCGCAGAAAGTTTGCTGCTTGACATTCCGCCCCGCCTTAACCATCCTGTGTATGCATGCATGCTTGCATGCGTGCACAGGATAAATATACATGCATGCATGCATGCACGGGCTATATGTGGATGCATGCATGCATGGATGCATGCAGGTCAGGGAACGCCGTGTTGGCGCTGCAGCTCTTTAGCGTTCGGGTTGCTGCTGTCTGCTGCAGCCTTTTCAGACTCAGCTGCAGCAGCAGCAGAATCTGAAGAAGCTGCAGCATCTCGCTGCTACAGCAGCAGAGATCATCTTAGGCGCTCTGCCAGGGATACGAGCTGCACTGCTGTAGGGAACTGCGGTTATGGGGAGCTAGGGGTAC